TTGTTATTAGATTTAAAAATAAATTAATAGGCTAAGTTTTCCACTCTTGAATTCTGCTTGGCAAATATTATCTTCAGAAAATATTGACAGTGAAAAGGTGGTAATGTTACTATTGCTGAGGTTCCCTTTAGTTTCCAAATTTACAGATGAACCCTTATGCAAACATGTTTAAACTAGGATTCACCATGACTGCTCCCTCATGTCATTGCATTTCAGGATGGATGAAGTTTGAATTAGTCCTCGTTTCCATTGGGATTATTTTTTGTTATTGTGTGATTGTTTCCTTGGAATTCTTAAGTGTTTGTGGCATATATGTATGAAAATTTATTCCATAAAACTCATAGATTGCTTAACTGGTTAAGCTTCCTGTAAAGAGAGATGTAATGCCATGTTTATCATGCTTGAAATGCCAAATTAAACGCCCAAGGCAAGAGATACCTAAACAGAACATCTTCCATGAGCAATAGTAGATAGCTTAACCTTCCCTTTCTGGTTTCTCTTTATTTTGACCAATTTTGTTTGAGTTTTAGTATAACAGTACTTTTGTTTATATATTGTGTGTGCTCAGACACTATCAAGCTTCCTTAATAGGATGCTGAAAAAAATCAATATGTAGTTTACTGTGACGGTTCTTAAGAGGAGATGCAATAGTAAAGCATTTACTATTTGCCATTATCTTGGAAGGGAAGCTAAACTAAATATATTTAAAGTAAAGAGCTGCACTGTTACATGATAACAGTTGCCCATGAGCTAAAGGGAGCTTCTTGCCTTAAATAGTGAGTTGGGAGCAATGGTAGACTGCGGAATACTGTTTATCTGACACTGACCCTAAGAGCTCATGTGCTCCTTTGCTTTCGCCATCGAGGCATCCACCTATCTGTTCTGTTTGTTGATATATACACCCCTCTCTCATTCTTACCCACCTGCGTTTGGCTGTAGGCCCATCAGAACAGAGATGTAGTGCCTTTTTAAAGCAAAGAATTAATGGAGAAGCTAACAGGGGTAAAGAATAATGCTGAGTTAGAAGCTTGCATATTAAACAAAAAGGAAGGTAAAAAAGCCCAGTTAAATATTGGTATTCTATTTTGCATGCTTCTGCAATGTCCTTTACTCCAAGATTCTCATTACTAATTCAGCACTTGTTAATTTCCACTGGACTACTTCTGGGTGGATTGTGGCCTAATTAGACTGTAGAGTCTTGACTTATTTGTGATTCTATCGTGTTAATCTTTGGCCCCAGGAGCTATCTAAACCTATCTACTATTTTATTGCACGTGAGGTGCATATGGATCCCCTTCATTTCACCCTTTGTGTATGTGCATGTTTTACAGATTTAGTTTTGATATCAGAAAGGCTAATCCTTCAATTTTCTATATGTATCTCTGCCATTGAATAGTCAGCAACTGGCAAGAGAGAATGCTTGTTTTGTCCCATTAAACTCATGTGAAAATAATATTGTGTATTTTTTGTCCAAAGTATTTTTAAATCCTCTTCATGTCATGTCAAATACTGTAAAATCTATTGTAATAAATGAAAATATGAGAAGGCTCTGATGATTATTCTTTATTTATTTCAAGAACTTTCATGTAAATTTCTTCTTCAGAACTCCTAGCAAAAAGTCTTTATAACAGTCATTGCACTGTTTTCCTGCAACACAGCTATACTTATCTATAGTTATACTTCTAGAAATGTCATTTTTCTTTTAGAAGCAATCTGTGCAATTTATCTTGGTAACTTTTATTTTCAAATAGCTTAATATAACAGAAATGCTTTATTATCTATTGAGACATAGTATGAAATAATGTGCTGAAGGTCACAAGGGCAGCAAATGTAGAATTTTTAAGTATTTGCATATATGGAGCCCTATTAAACCACAACTTAGCTAAAAACTAAAATGAAAAAAAGACATATTTGGAGACTTTTTGCATTAATTATTTTAAGATTCCATTTCTTACAAAAGAATGTATTACCTACATTTATATATGTCTAAGTGCTATTGCTATTTACTCCTTTTTCCCCTATGACATCTTCCAATGGGGGAAGATTGGACTAAGAGATGTTAACGGATTCAAAGTTCCTATAGTGATCCTGACTGACAGAGAATGTAGGCCTAAGCTATCCCATTTATCACTGCGCTGCCTGGGATCTTGACACTCACATTGCTGCACTGCTGTGGTTACTATTCTGAAACTCTTAAGACTAAACCATAATATGCTTTGTTTAGGGTAGCATTCATTGTTTGATTCGCTGTGTCCTTTGTTCTGAAAACTTTGCATGTAAAGAATTTTAAAAATATTTTTGGTTACACCCAAAGAGGACATCAGAGCAATTTAATATTGGAACCAATTACCCTTTCATTGGATTTGCTTAAGTGTAGAGGCTAGACATCTGTTGGGATTCTTTAATTTGCATCCTACTTGATGGTCTAAAGAACCCTTTCCAACTCCCCCTGAATTCTGTGATTCAGTAACTGTAAGCTAATCAAGAGTGTTTGGATTAGACCAATTCAGTATTAAGAATTTGGGGAGCTATTTTATGCTGAAGATATCAGCATATCTCTGTAGATGTGGATGTAAAAGAGAGGGATCATCACTGAACTGAGAAAGAAAAGGACCCTATAATAAATAAATAAACAGACTATGCTAATGGATTGTTAGGTAGCAATGTTAGTTTTCTTGGGAGAGGATTTTTCCAAACCTACTAGCCTTGTGGCTGATTTTAATGATACAGCTTAAGGGTTTTTGGTCCTGGTCCTCTGCCTGTTCCTCTGCTACCTGTAAAATTGGAAGAGGGATTTCCTCTTCTATCCTCTAAATCTGATTAGTTCTAAACCTTTGGACAATCATCCAGAATAAATTGGGGAGGGGGTGGAAGGGGAGAGGGAAAATCTTCCCAGGGGCCTTTAGTAGCGCAGTATTCTATTTTATTTTACATACTAAAATATCATATAATATCTATGTAAAGCCAGAACCAGAAGGTGTTCTGAAGTTTGGACTGCAGTATCAACAATTCCAGGAAAATTATGGATCTCATAAATAGTGTTTAAAGGTGGTATTAGATATATTGAGAATAAAAAAGTTAAAACTTGGATATGGAAAGTGGCTAATATAACTTCAAGAATTAAACTGATATTTAATAGGGCTTCATTTTTCCTGAAACACTTTTCCTGAAGGACTGGACTGTAACTCAGGGTCCTTCTGGACTTGTCCTATTTGGATAAACACTGCTGCCAGAGGTTTTTTTCCTATATATCTTAGTTCATCAGCTCTGAACTCAGTTAGGTCAAGTAGATGTGATCTCAATTTTGCATGATCTAATTACATCTGGAATTGACTATTATAATCTGTATATGGGGCTGCCTTTCAAGTTGACTCAGAAATTGCGGAAAATGTGGCTCTTTGTATCTGTGTGGGCAGGTGGAGGAAAAGTCAGATCACATTAAACTTGTTTTGCATAAAGGGTACTGCTTGTAAATTTGTTTTGAGGTGCATTATTTAATATTAGAAATAAATTAAAACAGTTTTCATGCAGTTGACTTGAAGGATCTCCTACAGCCAAGTGAATTTGCTATTTCAAGCTCCTGGGCAATAACACATCACCATAATCATCTAGTGCAGGGCTTTTCAACCAGTGGTACGGGTACCACCTGTGGTACATTGGCACCTGGCAGGTGGTATGCGACCATCCTAGAAAAGTGGTAGTGGGGGAAGGGAATGAGCTGAACCGGTGGCAGCACTGCACAAGCCTGAGCGAGAGATGGCTGGAGTTGCAGGGCTGTCAGGGCTCAGTGGAAGCACCAGGATCAGCTCCAGGCTCCAGCTGATCGGCGCTTCTTTGGGGCTGTCAGGGCTCAGTGGAAGTGCCAGGATCAGCACCAGGGTCCAGCTGGAGCTCGGTGCTGATCCTGGTGCTTCTGCTGAACCCTGAAGAAGCACCAATCAGCTGGAAAGCAGCACTGATCCTGGCACTTCTGCTGAGCCCAGAAGAAGTGCCGATCAGCTGGAATGTTGCAGCATCTCCAGGGTCTTGTGATTTACATTCAGATGCTTGGCAACTGATTCATATTTATGACAGTCACAGTGTCCCAGGGTCATGTGAAGTGACCAAAACCTGCTGCAACCACCCAGCAGACGGGGGGAATAAAAACCAAACATCCCCCCACGCCCGCTGCCAATCCTCAACAGAAATGCTCACAACAATGAAAACCTCGGACAGGAGGAAGAGCGCCGCTGGGTGGGCAGGCAGGTGTCTTGCTCGGCTGTGGCTTGGGGGGCACTTTTTTCAGTGTCATTGTAACTTCAAACAGTCACTAAGTGAACTGTTGTAAGTCGAGGACTACCTGTACTTTATCACTTTTTTTCCTTTTTTGGGGGGGGTCATCAAGTTTTTGACACCTTTCTAGGCATTTGGTGATACTCGGATGTTGCCATATCCTAAAAGTGGTACAATGGGTGAAAAGGTTGAAAAGCCTTGATCTAGTGGGCAGACACCAGAAAAGGGCTTTCTTCTTTCATTCTTTCTCATGAAGTTCCCTCCTGAAATATCCTGATCCAATCCATGGCTATGTTTAAGAAAATTTAAAAAGCCTATCTAATCAAACATTATATTTTGTATATTTTATTATTTCATTAAGAGAACCAGTTGGATGTAGCAGTTAAGACAACAGACTAGAAATTGGGAGTTCAGAAGTTCTAGTTCCTCCTTGGGCATAAGGCCAGCTGGGTGACTTTGGACATGTCACTTTCTCTCAGCTCTAAGAAGGAGGCAGTGGCAAGCCACTTCGGAAAAACCTTGCCAAGAAAATGGCAGGGACTTCTCCAGACTGAGATTGAATGGAGGAAAAGAGATTCATTAGTTAAGAACAGTAAATAAATAAACACACCTGAAAAGTGATGGAGATGGATGAAATAAACAAATGGCTGCTTGTAAGATATAATACATATTACATTTGGTAACCATTATATAACAAACCTATTCTTTTTCATGGTTTTGCTTGTTAGGGAATGATGTACCTGGAAGAGAGGAGACTGGTCCATCGAGATTTGGCAGCACGGAATGTCTTGGTGAAGTCTCCAAATCATGTAAAGATCACAGACTTTGGCCTGGCTAGGCTACTGGAAGGCGATGAAAAGGAATATAGTGCTGATGGTGGAAAGGCAGGTTTCTTTAAACTCATAAAATAGACCAGGGAGTTAACATCCAACATAAAATAGGAAAGTGATTGTGTGAAAAAAAGGTTTTTTAAAAATTAATGAATGCATATTTATTGCTTTCATGAACCAAGTTTCTTTTCCCTACATTTATTTCAAAGAAAAAGATCAGGTCAAAATACAAATAATCCTTGGTGTTAATGTCTATCCACTTTCTTTTACCTGTTAATCTATAATTTATAATGTGTACCAACCAGAACTTACCTTAAAAATGTGACTTTTTGAGTCACTTTTGTTTCAGAAGCCTTGGCTCATATATATGTAAGTTCCACTAGCAGTACTTTTTAGAGACATAAAAGATTTGTTCCTGTTCCAGAGATATAATCAGTATACTATCAAAAACTCTTATGTCTGAACTCTTAAACTTGGTGAAACAGTGCATTATAGGGCAAAACTTTTTCAACCAACGTACCTCAAATGAGGTAGCTTAAAGAAAGTGCCTAAATGTTTAACAAATTTTCCAATACATTAGAAGTTCTGCCATTGTTGAAGGCATTGAGATATCAGGTAAGGAAACTTACCTGAAAGGATGACCAACGGCAATACTTTTGAAATATGAAACTGAAAATCTTGTTTTTCACTTTGATTTGAAAGACATTTAATAGGTAAATATTATGCTTGCTAACTGATTTTATTTTTCCCTGTTTTTTTTTCATTCTAGATGCCAATAAAATGGATGGCTCTTGAGTGTATACATTATAGAAAATTCACACACCAAACAGATGTTTGGAGCTATGGTAAAATAAAGTCTATATTTAATGATATTATGTAAATAATAATGTTGTATTTATTTGCCAAGACCTTTTGTGATCTATTAGTAGGTGAAGTTTTTAAATTTTTATTCTGTATAATATTTGTTTTATATGTTGAAAAAAAATGCATTTCCAATTTCAGCTTGTTGAAACCACTCTTGGGCAGTGTTTTGCGAAGGAGTAGCAAAACCTGGGGGCAGAGTCAAAAGAGGAACAGAATAGAGCTGGAAGGGATCTTGGAGGCCTTCTAGTCCAGCCCCCTGCTCAAGCAGGAGAACCTATACCATTCCAGACAAGTGACTGTCTAGTCTCTTCTTAAAAATCTCCAGTGATGAAGTGCCCACAACTTCTGAAGGCAAGCTGTTCCACTGGTTAATTCTAGGAATAAACCTAGAGTCTCTACATAGCCAAAAATGGATTAAGTGCACCCCTTTTGAATTCTGTTGAGCCTTATCCAGGGCTTTTTTTCTCATAGAACGCCCAGAACGGAGTTCCGGCACCTTTTTTGGATGGAACCTTGTAGGGTAGGCAAGATAGGTTGTATGACATGTGTGAGTTCCGGCACCTTTTTTTATTTATAAAAAAGCACTGGCCTTATCTAATGCCAATATAGTGTTAACCTTTAGTTGAGTAGATTCCTGTGCATCGGCATGATTAATAGTAAATAAGTTTACCTGGAACTTCACATGTGATCGTGGTCTTTCATAACTGATATTAATCTGCCACTCTTTGTCCTACATTGGTTTCACAATGAATATTTTTCTTATTGAGCTCTGAATGTATAAAAATGTATAACTCTTACATTCAACATTTATATGTTTAAAATATATGACCATGATGATATGATGATGATACCATCTTATAGAAATAGAAGAGTTTTATCCCATAATTGATAAATTATCACATCACAGAATAAATAAAGGGTTGGAGGATTAAGCTTTGAGCTGGAAAAACTGACTAACATGGGAATTTCACAAGCAACCTTGCCTTTACAAAAAAGCTCAGGTACTTCTATAAACCCATACCTATGGAATTTGGTTAATGTAATTAACCTGTCAAAGCAAGGTAATGTGTAAAACATGTGTAATCAGACACATGACATAACCATTCTAATGTAATTAGAATGTCAAGCTAATTTTATTGGTGCCTGTTGTTGGCCACTTGCACAATTATTTGACTTATTTTAGTATGATTTATTTCCCCCTTTTGTTAAACAGAATTGAATTTTAAGAAGCTCTATACTCTCTGATGCACTAATGGAAAAAAAAATTTATAATATATTACCTATAAGTAGCTAAAGTTTCATCAGAGACAATGTCTTTTATCCAATGCTTTATCCAACTGTTTTCCAAAGTAGTTAATTTCATATTCTCTGTAGCTAAGAAAGCTAAACATTGGGGTTTAAATTGGTCATCTGTAAAATACATGTTATGTCCCCTTCTATTATTGCTTCATTTTGCAACCTAGCTATATTCAGTGGCAATGGTTAATTATACACCGGAAAACTGTCCAACATGAACTTTTAATCTAATCTAAAGTCTGGACTTGTAGCCTCTTCCTATTTAACTTTGCTCATAGGTAAATCCAAGTACATTGGGATTTACTATTAGGATGCCTTTATTAAATTTGGCCTTATTCCTAGTGCCTCTTAAATGAGAAACAACAAATCTGTTTAGTGTTATAACATTAAATGGTTTAATAATACATGGTTGCCACGATCCTACTTTTAATTTATTGACTATCATGTTTATTTCCTATGTAGGTTTTCAGTGTACATAGGTTTTTTTTAATTTGCCATAAGCCTTTTTTCCTCCTTTATTAAAATACTACCTCTTTATCAAATGTTTCGTGTGTGTGTGTGTGTGTGTGTGTGTGTGTATGCACATGCATGTAATTTGTTATGAAGTTCAGAAGAGCAGAATAGTCAATAAAAGGCATGTAGTCAGGTTATCTTGCCAACCACCAGCTGATCCGTGGGCATCTTCTGAGGGAAGAGTATGAAGAAAGTTAAAGTGTAATAATGCAAGTAAAATAGTGGTGGGGTTTTGATCATGACTAGCCCTCCCTCCCCATGGATATACTTGAGCTTTTTCATTACCTATTCTTCTAAATCCAGTTTAGGATTTAAGGTTAAGGTTCATCTTAGTTGTCTTCATTATTTTCAGCTATGTGCTAATATTAAATGTGATTGATACAATCATATTATATGTAGAACTTGCAGCCTTTCAGTTAACCAAACCTAGTCTTTTGTATCTCAATGCTGGCAGACAATGGAACTTGCAGAACTGCAATATCACCCTGTTAGTACACCTGAAGAGAACCAATAACACTAGCCTAAACTCTTCTCATTATCCATTCTTCTGTTCAGTGTTGTTAACATTAATGAATGTTGGCATCTTTAAAATGCTGAGTCAGCCATGGCCCATACCTACAGTAGTCATTGTGAAATGCTTAGTGATACCCTGCTGGCATACCAATATGTCCCTGATGGGAATGAGAATTTGTTGGAAAGATTGCATGAAACTACGCAACCGGCCTGTAAGTAAACATGATCAATTTTAAAAGAAAATGGGGAAGGGGAGATTTGCTCTGCAGTTAGACCAGGTTCTATCATCCCAGAAATGCTTGGCAGGAGGAGGGGAAGAGAACAGGGTAAGGCTGTGCAGAGTGATGATACTTGACCACATCCAAGAAGAAACAGGAAGAGAGGGGATGATCCAAAAATAATGTGATAGAGCACTGATAGAAGTCAGCATCTGGCTGAGACATAAATGAAGTGCAAAACTTTTCCATTTCAAAAGAGGAACTTGATTGGCTGTATTGAAATTTGTATCCATGGCTAAAATGGGACTGGAATAGAAATGTAATTTAGTTGCATGCAGTGGGTTATGGTACTGTCTGATTAAAAATCAAAAGGAGGCCTTTATCTGGAAGATAACTTTCTTACATCAAGAAAGCACATTTTCAAACCTCATAATTATAAGTCAAATGGAACAAACTGGGTCTTTCCCATGTTAATAATTGTGCTGTTAATATATTTGGAGTAGCTATGTGGGATTCTATCATGGAAAAATAGCTCCTCTGTTGCATTCAGTGTGTGTAAACGACAACATCTTAGGTTTAGCTTGCAAATGTATGGGGCTGAAGAAGGAATATGCACATATAACATATTCACTTTTTTATCTTATTGTTTGAGAATGAAAAAGTTCTTAATTTTCTTCATCTGTAAAAATGGATTCTGAATTTAATTTAATTTAATTAATTTAATTTAAGATAATTTCTATTTCAATTCTATTTCTGCTTCTTATTGCAAATATATATATATATATATATATATATATATATTCTGGTTGTTCTTCCTGTGAGTCTGATAATAGACAAGCACAGGGACTCAACAAAGGATTCCTGTTGGCTGAGCAATGTGTAGTCTTGCCCTGAAGACCAAGACATCCAAAAGACTGCCAGTTCAGTTCAGGAAGACAGAAAGCCCCAGGAAAGCCTTTTCACAAAATTAGAAAGGAAAGAAGTAAATCAGAGTTGAGTGTGGCTACAACTGTGACTCCACAAAGGACAGTTACAGCCATTTGTTTAAGTGCAATATTTTAAATAGGTAGAATACATTTTTCCCCTTAATACTAGCATAAGCATACAAGAGTCCAACCTGGACTGGTATGTCAGCAATGAGAAGATGAATCTTATATTTTTCCCTGCCATGGACTTCATAAAATTCTTTATCCAGAGGACTTTTGAGGAGGGAAAAGTTTGATGGAATGCTGACACCTGCATCCAGAAGGATTTGCAGAGCAGGTGCTCCCTTTATACAGCTGTCTCCACAAAATGGAATCTGAGAGATACTGCAAGTTGCCCCCAGCAGAGCAGAGGGACCACGCTCCAAACATAACTAATTTCTGAGTTATTTTTGGAATGGAGGAATCAGTGCCTGTGGCAGCTTCATTGCCTTCTTCCATTATTAGAAAATACAGGAACCATGAGGCTCATGGGTGGGAGCTAACTGCCAGATTCTTCTTCTTGTGCCATATCCGTTATTGGACATTGGCGATCATGTTGGCGATCCTGTTTTTATCAGCAGCCGTACAAAAAAGTGCTGCTGAGTTTTGTCCAAAACAGTCCCTTAGATTTTGAAGCCATGATGTTCTTCTGCCTGGACCTCGTTTGCCTTCAATCTTTCCCTGGAGGATTAAATGGAGTATGCCATATTTTTCTGGGTGTCGCATCACATGTCCAAAATATTCTAATTTTCATTTTTAAATTGTTTTGATGATTTCCCTTGGCTTTCCCAGGCGGCTTATCACGTCCTCAATTCTGATCTTGTCAACCCAGCTTATACGTAACAGCCGCCTGTAAATCCACATTTCAAATGCTTCTAGTATCTTCAGGTGGCCTTCTGTCAGAGACCAACTCTCTACTCCATAGAGCAGGATAGAAAAAATATAGCATCTGACAAGCCTGATTTTCAGTCTTAGGCTTATGTCGTGACTGTAGAAGACCTTTTTCATTTTGAAGAATGCTGTTCGGGCTTTCTCTACCCTTGTCTTTACTTCAGTGGTCATGTCCCAGCTTTCATGTAGATTAGAACCAAGGTGCATGATCCTTTCAACTTTTTCTGAATTTATTGGTGGTAAATTAACGGGTTGTTTGATGACGACCATGATCTTGGTTTTTGAGGTGTTAAGCTTTAAGCCATATTTTTCAGATATTTCTGTGACTCTGTTGATGAGGAGCTGAAGGTCTTCATGCTTACTGGCAAGCAGAACTGTATCGTCAGCATATCTTAAGTTGTTGATCCAAACACCGTTTACTTTGATGCCAGCATCGATGTTCTCCAGTGCTTCGTTGAAGATTGATTCAGAGTAGATATTGAACAACAGTGGAGACAGAATACATCCCTGTCTGACCCCTCTTCTTATTTCTGCATCAGCTGAGTATTTTTGGCCTAGTCTCACATTTGCTACCTGATGCCAATA